GTTAGCAAATGACACAACAAACCAAACCTATTGTGTTGCAAAGAAAAATGCGGAAAAGAAGATGGTGCAAGCTGCGTTGGATTGGGCTTGTGGACCTGGAAAAGTAGATTGTACTCCGTTGTTGCAAGGAAATCCTTGTTATGAACCAAATACTCTGATTGCTCATGCATCATATGCTTTTGATGCATATTATCGCAAGATGGGCATGGCTGACGGAACATGTGACTTTAATGGGGTTGCTACAGTCAGTACGACTGATCCTAGTAAGTAGTCAAAACTATGTTCTTTGTGAATACCCATCTTACATGAATTTGCGAACTCGAACATTTGAACCTAAGATCCAACACTACAAAGTCTTGTCCAATTGAAATGCTACCACAAACTTTAAAAATGTTGTCACAAGATTCTGGAAGTTTGAGATTCAACTTTCAGATTACTATTCAGTTTGCTACAAGCATTTGGGAAAATGTATATGTTAATCAGGAAAATTAAGCCAAAACAAGGAATGAAATCACAACCTATGAACTGGTCGTTCGCCTAGTATATGTAAATTTTTCGGCTTCATGGTGCTTCTGAATTATGAATGCAGTGATATAGATTCTTCCACATGCAATGCACACATGCGTAGCAGAGAATTAAGGAATTCAGCAGCAAAATCTTTTCGGTATCAGGCGGTGTTAGAAATATTGAAATATAAGCAATAAGTACTTGATTTTTTCCCTTGAAAAACGGGTATTTTAAGCCATTATGAGATACTGCTTCGCACCTGTTTTCAAGAATTTTTAATATGAAATACTCGTTTTTTTTTTTTCACGAATGAATCTGCATAAATTTGTCTTCTGGCTATTGTTTTGGGGGACAATGTTGTGATTTACTTGATCACTATTCATTTTCCTATTGCAGGTAATGGGTCTTGTATATATCCAGGAAGGTATGGCTTTAGGTTTGTTTATCAGCTATTAGTCAGTCATTCTATTTCGCCTTTGTCTCTTCTGTTAGCTTAATATCTGCAGTTAACATGGCCTTGTTCCTTGTCCCAAAACTTATTTTTCTTGTTCTATTTCTACACTCTTGATTACTTATGCTTTGTCTTTTTTTCATTTTTCATATAGTGGAGGGAGAAATGGCACCTTCACAAATAGCTCCTCGCATGCTCCATCATCAGACTCAACGGCATCTGGCTGTCATTCACAATATTCCCATGACGTTCGTACATTCTTGAGCTCTCTAATTGTTGGTTTGGTACTCTGCGCTGCAGCTTGCTTGTAGCATAATGTGGATGGTGCTTTACACAGCATATTTGCTGGATTTATGAAACATTAGACACACTTTTACTCTATAACCTAGCTCCCAATTTTGTTCCTCCAAGGAGGGTTAGGGGTCGCATGGTCTTTAGGCAGGGCGTACAACTGGCTTTGAGGCGAGTGCTCTGGATTGGTTTATACGTGCAATCGAGGCAGAGAAAGTTTGTGGTGGTTGCTGTAATTATCTTAGGGTAGAATCATTCTTTTCTTTCTGAAGCTGAGTTCCTTTGTCTTGAATGGGATTCATAATGCTTTTGAGTAAGATATTCTTCGCCTGATTCACGTACAGGCAAGATTTTCTTGCCTTTAATTAAAGGTGTGTTCAAATGCTGTTACTTATCCGGTAAGAAAGAAAAAGGGCGTGGTTAAATGCTTTTTCATTGGCTCAGGGTCGCCTCATAGCCCTTGGAACCGTCGAAATATCTCCTCGTATAAAGGGGCAGCCAAGTGGTGTACCGAGCTCCCGCTATGCATAGGGTCCGGGGAAGTAGTGATGGACCATAAGGGTCTATTGCACGCAGCCTTACCTTGTATTTCTGCAAGACACTGTTTTCATGGCTTGAACCCGTGACCTTCAGGTCACATGGTAGCAACTTTACCAGTTATTTCAAGGCTCCCCTTTAGTATCTCCTTGCATAACCAATGTTATATTCAGACTTTGAGCCCGTTTGGATTGGCTTAAAAAAAGTAGCTTAAGCGCAAGTGTTTAAAAGCACTTTTTAAGTGCTGGAGCTGGTTTTATAAATAAGCAGTTATGTGTTTGGATAAACGTGCTGGAGCTGAAAAAAAGCTGTTGAAATGTTTGGTAAACAAGTGCTTGTAAGCACTTTTTCTATTAAAATGACTGAAATATCCTTAAAGCTGTTAACACTATAAAGAAGCTTATTACTATAATATTTTATTTCAAACTTATTAATACAAATACGAAATAATTAATATTTGAACTGATCATCTAAGATAATTTTTATAAATATAATTATTGAACTCTTATTTTTCACTTCTTTCAACCATGTAAATTTTTTATTTGTTTCTTGAAATTCCAAGCTTACTGGAAAAACATATGAAATGACTATCACATTTTATTATTTTATTTCTTATTTGAACTATGTAAAAATTCTTGATATTTAGGAAATCAAAATAAAATAAACTTGTACTTTTTAAAATTATTTGAAATTGTACGTATAGTTAATTAGAAATTACAATGCAACTAGAACTGTTGGTCGTACACGAATTTAAATTCTTAGAAAAATATTCAAACTTAAGTACAATCTATGTAAGAGATATTAAAGTCAAAATAAGTTCACCGTTCTGACAAAATTTTAAAAGTTTGAGTTGGATATTATAATTATTTCAAAAGTTTGTGAAGGACATTTTTGGAATAATAAATATTATTAGGGATAAGAGGGTAAAATACTTGGTCAAAGATAGTTGGCTTTTAAGCTAAAAAAAAAAAAAAGAAGTTGGGATCAACCAACTTGTGGCTTTTGGCTTTTTTTAAGCCAGTTTTAACTTTTTTAAGCTGTTTTCTTTTTTGCCAAACACTCCCAATATCTAAAAATTGGTTAAAATCCAGCTTTTAAGCCAATCCAATATGGAATGGCATTTTCAGCTGAGCAGGAGAATACTAAGCTATTACGCTCACCACTAGTTACCACACTGATGATTTTGAAGAAGGGAGATGCAGAAATGACTAAAGGCTATAAGCATGCAAGTAAAAACTTGGTCACAAATGTAAGGTTAGTGAATAACAAAAAAATAAACTTATTGTAAGAATTACAATCATTGCAGCATATCCTGAAGAAAGCAGAAGTGTTAGCCGTTAGTAGACTGTATTTGTAAAATAATTCTGGAAATATAAATGAGTATAAACAGAAATGAACATAAACAGAAATGACATAAAACCAATTCGAGCCCACTGAATTCACAGTGTTTCCTTAAGGAATTTAATCCCCTCCTAGTACCCAAGGTTATGGATTATTTCCTCCCAGGATAGAACGAATTACACACTGGTGTAGTGGTACTTCAAACCCCAGTGTTTCAGCGAACACAAAGTTCGGTAGCAAATCACACTTACTTTTTGCTTTGTTTGATGCTAAAAGTATGCAGAAGAAGGAGAAGAAACTCAGAAAATCGTAGTAAAATTCTGAGCAGAATAGTATTGTATTTATAGCCAAAGTTAGGCTGAAATCTGAAGAGGTGCAACTCTTCAGAATGGCTGTTTATGCAAAACGCCCACAGCATAAACGGATTGAAGAGGGTAATTACTTTTCTGTTACCAAAACCGAAAAACGGATTGGATTTAATATTAATATTTAATATTAATATTTTGTTATTAAAACAAATATTTAATAACATTTCTGTTAATATTTTACTATTAACAAATAAATTTGGTCCAAAAAGTTAATCAATCAATCATTTGACCATAGCCGTAGCCGTAGCCGAGCCGAGCGACGACGACGGCGCGAGGCTTACCTTCTTCTCAACTCTTTAAGAGCTAGAAGAAGAGCAATTGCTTATATACCCATAAAAAACCTCTTCCTCTTTCAATATGGGACAATGCCCATTTGCCAAGGGGGAACTTAAAATTTCACTCAAAAATTTTATTTCCCTCCATTTCCCATTCACCCTCTTTTAAGTATTTAATATATTAATTAAACACATCCAAAACCCAACATTAGCTGCGTCACTTAACTAGTCATTATTTTAGTGCATGTACCTCTCTTCAGAATCTAGAGGAAGCAACCGCCACAGAATTCTGCTGCTGCTGCAATCTTTCCTCTCTTCTAAACTGAAGAATTCACAGCTCATATCTGAACTGCGATTTCACGATCCATGACCAGGCCAGCAGTGTAAAGGCTATCAAATAGCCAATAATTAAGTTCAGGAGCTAATTAGGACTAGTAATAATTTAGGTGTGCACCAAATAAACGGTATTAAGTTTAGGGATTTTTTAGGTGTTTTGTCAACTTTATATCCCGTATATTTAATTTTTAATCCAAAAACCAAACATCTACATGCAAAAGTATATATCCTCTAAACAATCTTGTTATTAATTTATATATAATAATTCTCACATTACAATTATAGCAGAACTTGTTCACAAGCTGAGCGATCCCTAAGAAGGCACGTCTACATAAGACAAGCGATTAAACTGGCAAGTCCGGGATACAAGATGAATTTTTCCACGACTAGATATTCCTATGATTAATATTATTAAATAATTTTCTTATTGGGTCTGTTGAAGCCTTAAACGACGGCTAATTAAAAAGGACTCAGTAGAGTAATTAAGAGTCAGCACTGTACTATCAGTGGTCTAAAGATTCAACGAAATTGTTAAAAAACATTTTACCGAAAAGGGGAAAGAAGTGCTGGATGGGGTAGAGAAGTGGAGGACGACACAGTAATTAGGTTTTATTAAGTACTGTACTTATTGCTCCCTCCGATTCAAAATAAGTGATTTTTTTGGATGTTTTCACACAGATTAAGAAATTCACCGTTTAGCATTAATTAGCAATAGAATTGACCATATTAACCTTTACTATCTCACATAAACACTCCTAACACATATTCCAACACTATTTACTCCAAGGACAATGTAGGAAAAAAATAATTAATTCATTCTTGAAATCTGGAAAAATCACTTATTTGGACCACAAGAAAAAGGCCAAAAAATTACTTATTTTGGACCGGAGGGAGTATATAATACACGCTGTAAAGATTTAGTAATTGCAATTGAATACAAAGTATGTCACAAAGTCACTAGCATTAATAAACATGTACAACATTATATTACAAATCTTAGCACTCACAATCCCTTCCCTATAATATTCACTTAATATATTAGATTACAAATCCCTATTGAACCCTCTCTGGCATTTCACATTCCTCTATCTACTCATTCCTCCTTCAACTGTTGGTGGCATAATCAGTCCACGATTTTGCCTCTCCACATTTCCATGCCAACCTGTTCATAAAAAATACACAGAGTTAATAAAAAGACAATTTTGAATTGGTACCTTAGAGACATGGATTAAATTCCCAACGTTTTAAAAAGATTGACACTATTTTTTTATTCGTATGTTTTAAAAAAATTAGCACATTCATATATTTTCTCAGTGGCGGATCCGGGGTTTATAAGTTGTGGGTACTTTACTGATTTTAATGTGAATTTACTGTGATCAAACATGATCATAGTAAGTGCTCCTGGTCAATTATTTAAATTTTTAAGTATTATCTATGAATACATAACACAATTTCGCAAACCCAATGGGTGCTTCAGTACCCACACCTCAATACACAAATCCGCCACTATATTTTTTTAATGCGAAACTTTTATAACGACACAAATGCTATGATTTTTTAACGATCATAAGTTTCAAAAATCAAATTAAAACAAATGAATTGAAACAAAGGGAGTAATTGTGTTTACCAATGGACATATCAACTCCACGATTTTTGAGCTCTCGATACTCTTGACATAAGGCACAAGCTTCACAGAAACAGTGGACCAAGCAATCACCACAAGGGCTTTCTTTCAATAAGTATTGTTGTCTCATCTTGGAACGATAGAAACAAGAGTAAAAACATGGACAACCAGTCACACATATTATTATTGCGTATAGTGCTCCACTTATTCCACAAGCTGCAATATGAAGCAAAAAATTATATTAATTAGTATATGGAAGACAGAAGATTAATAAATTCACGATTTTAAAGTAATACTATACCACTGCTATTTTCTGAAGATGGTATAAATGTGGTATAGAAGTATATGCTTAGTAAATTTCAATTACATGTATATATAGTTCAAGGTGAAAGCAGTAAGTAGTTTACAGCCGGCAGGGTCAGGATTGATTTTAATATTTTTAAGTCATTGGGTTTTGATTAATAATTAGTACATATTTAACGGAATTCTTATGATAATATACGGTGTAGGCCAAAGCTACTGGGTTCGATCGAACTCCACCCCTGGTGATTTATAGAAACTCAAGATTCATGATTTTAAATCTTTATTTAAATACTAATGCATAACTATCCTCCACATACCCTACTTGTGGAACTATACTGGTTCTGTTATTATTGTTATATAAATATAAAGTATTATTATTATTATTAAAAATGGTGCGAATTAATGTTTATGGTCAGGCTAGTTTCTTGCAAGTTCAAGTACAGTTGAATTTAGTGTTTTGTATTAGGTTCCTTTCTATTTTATTAGTCCTGTATTGACTTTACACTCTTAAGAAAACATTTATATTAAAAATTAATTTACTAAATTACCGTTATTAATGGTAAGTAAAATCTTTTCAATAAATCAGTGATTGAGAAATAGGTACTTAATGATAAGGATAAGACTGGAGAAATTAAAAAAAAAAAAAAAAAAAACAATTTAAGAATTGGTCAACACACTTATTCTTCGTACTTTCAATTTTTATCTTTTAAATAAAACCTCAGTATTCAAACGAATAAACATCAAAACAAAAAATAAAAAGATAAATGAAATACTTACAATTAGAACCCTTGTCAATGATCTCAGCTATCTGTCCAAAAGTGATGCATGGACACCAGAAAGTTACGCAACCTGATCAAACAAACAGAAAAAAAGAACTCATGACCCCATAATTCCAAATTTAACAAAGTAAATCGTAATATATTTTATTAATTATATTTACTCCATCCGTCTCAATTTGACTAATTTTTAAAGTTAAATTGGATTAGATCAACTCAATATTATTTGGGCAAAAAGATATTACAACCTTTTTGAACAAATCAATCAAAGAAAATGAAGGGGTAAATCTTAATCATTCATAATGAATTCCAGATCAATGAACTAGAGAAAGAATTGCATACGAAGAGAAGTGAAGATAAACGATCTCATTGAAACTTCTTAATATTGTTCTCACTTATCAATGGAATAGAACTTATTACTGATTACATCGATCGCTCAGGATCATTTCACTCATTTTTCTGTATTTCCTAGTTACAGAGAGGAGGCAGATGGAGAATATGAGAGATATTTTCCCTCGAAGAAGCCCCCCCTCCTGTGAGATTTTTTACCATCCTATATATACAGCCCTGGATCTCCGGCTATGTGGCTTATCCGACGCTTCTTCTATGTCTCACGTTCATCGGTCGTTTGCTGGAGGTCGTCCGTTACTGCTTCGACGAAAGTCGTGAGGGCAGGATACGGAACACTCCGTGTCGATCTTCTTTACTTTGCAGTCCGTGAGTGGGGCGTCGGTCAGTCCGACCGTGGTGGTCAGATTTTGACCAATACAAATATGTTAAAACTAAAATTATATATTCAAAAATTATAAAAAAAAAAGATATATAAGTTGCAATATAATCATGTCTAATGAAACTACTACATTTTAAAATATTTGTCAAAGTTCATATTGTTTTTATTTCGATAGCCAAAAATGTCACCAAATTGAAACAAAGGAAGTAACAAACACGAAAAAAACAGTAATTTAAATATCATATGAACTTACAATTCTTGGGGTCGGACATACAGTCACATAAACCAGTTGACCATGGAACATGATTCCTCTTTTTCCGATACATGGCCAGCGGCGGATCGACGGACTCCACGTACAACTGGCCTTTAGAGCTGACCGGAACACCGGTCTGCGGCGGCGGAGTTTCGTCGCCATATGAAGATGAAAACTTGTGGTATTGATCACTTGAACTTGTTGAAGAATTCATAATGATTTCAGAAATGAAGAAATGAGGGAGCTGAGAATTCTTGGTTTGGATAAAAGAAAGTGGAGTATTTGACTAAATATATGATATTTCTATGAGACAAGTCTGGTCTAATAAATAATTGGTCTAGTCAATTTTGACGATTCAAAAACGCTCACAGCGTGATCGTGATAGCTAAGAAACTTTCTACTCCGTGTTTCTTTATTTTAGTATGATTTTTCTCTTTTGTTAATACTTGAATTATATGTTCAAATGATTATAGTTGAATAGCTAGATATGATCCCTTCACTTTTCATTTAATATTTTGAGTTCGAGCTCTAAATTAGAAAAAATCTAATAGGGAGCGTTAGCTATTTAATGGTCTTACACGATGTACATTTGGATTTTCTGGATCCTAATACAGATATCAAACACTAATGGTAAACCAAAAAAAAAAAAAAAAAAATAGAATTGTTGAGTTAAACTAAGTGATATCCGACTTGTCTTAACATGAGTCGTGATTGGAATTTTGCCATTTTGACTTAGTCATCATCGATGTGTTGACTCCTCATATTTAATACGGGTTCGTTTAGTCATAATCCCTTTGTTTTAAATTATTTGTCGTGATTTATAAAAATAATTATCACAAATTATTTGTCAGTTTAGAAGTTCAAGACAATTATAATTCTTTTTTAATTTTATCCTAAATAGTAATGATTCTTTAAAACTACAAACACCTTAATTGTGGGGTAATATCATGATTGTTTAAATACCAATAAGACATAAATAAAGGTAAAATAATTAAAAATACTTTCTAATTTTTTTTTAAAGGCGTATAACATAAAAATACGACAAATAATTTAAGATTGGATAGTACAATACTTGGTTTATCGTGCAAGAAAATATAGTTGATGCATAATTTTACACGACTACTTTATTAAATTTTGCAAATACCCGAGAACTAAGTTTTGAGCTAAATTTGTGTAATGTTTTATATTGAATTAGATGTGCAATATGAGTGTAATAGTTCCTTCGGGACATCAAATAAAAAAATGTATAGACAATTAGCAAAAATTTCTATATTGTTATTTGATCACGTCCAACTATGCCTTATAAAAAGGACTCTGCGGATGTTGCAAATATAACCCGAGTATTACGCCCAGAGTCGAATCCACAGAGAGTTAATCTATCAACCACTACCTTCAGACCCACTAATTCTTCAGAACCAGCTTCCCAAATATTCAAATTCTCAGTTGAGTGTTCTTTAACAACTAGCTTGCAAGTAACTAAATGGCTGTAACTAAATTAATAAGGTTGTAAACAATTATGAGGAAAAGCTAAGGCAATGATTTCCCCTATTGATGGAATCCCTTCTGTTTATGCTCATACAAATTTACCCACACATCTCTATCAATCATGAACACTAATCTTACCGCAAATCTCTCCCGAGTAATCACAGTAATCTACTATTGCACTCTCCCGAGATACACTAGCTTACTTTATTTAGCACAATTCACTTTAGATTACACCCAAGGCTTCGTTATCCCTAATCCCGCCTTTAAACCTACAATTATAGATTCCTCTAATAATCTAGGATTGGTGTTGTTCAACAATACCCTAAATATGCACTCTTTTCCAAGTTATGCACACTAAATAGGCACAGCTAATTGAGGATCCTGTCAATTAACTACAACGAACACGAAGTTGAACAAATAGAGATTAAACTAGCAATTTGTATTCACATAAACAAGAAGTTCATCACTCAATAGGTTTCATCAAAGCCTTAGACAAGGAATTTAGCTACTCATGGCTATGGGAGATAAACTAAGATTAAATTCATCATAAAAATCAAAAGAAAAGAAGAAAGATGTTTAGAGTATTCTCTCACAATGGTTTTCCTTGCTAAGAAACCTTAAAAATCAATACATGCCTCTCTCTTGGGCGAAGTCTAGTGTTTTAAATAGGGTTTAGGTCTAAATATTCCGTGTTTTACACTTTAGTCCCTGAAGTTTTCTGTTCCGCCGCGGTTCTGTCGCTGTCGCGGTCGAACCGCGGTCAAACGCCTTCTCTGATTCTGAATTTATCCGCAGCCGTCTTCCACCGCGGTTCTACCGCGGTCGCGGTGGAACCGCGGTCAAACCAGTGCTCTGATCTTCAGGCCTGTTTTGCGTGGTTTACTTGGGGAATTTCACAGCTGGCCTCTTTTTCATCAACTTTTAACTCCAAAACTGCTCCTTAGCCTTCCTTATACATATATCACCTACAAATCATGAAAAACACTAATAAGAGCATTTTGTCATCACTTTTAGCATTAAAACTACACAAAAAGGTGATTATTTACGGTGTGATTATAGTCAAATTCACCTATTATCAACACCCCACACTTAAATCTTTGCTCGTCCTCGAGCAACTAAACCACACTTCTAGGCCTAACTGCTCAATGCATTGCCCCAATTTATGTCACACCTGCTATTATCAAAGATTGACCTAAGCATGCACAATCATATCTTAGATGCAGACTCTTATGCCCAGACACACTTGTACCAACTCTAATTACTCTAACAAAAGTGAAGACTCACTTTTTCTTTCTGAGTCACATGCCCTCACATAAACAAAATTTGAGAGAAGTTCCACACACATAAAATTCAACAACCAGTGAACCATATATATATAAAGAATTCACTCACTCTCAGCAAAGAGCATTCACATGCCACATAGACACACCATAAGCTTGGCCCTAGTGTAATACTCCACTAATCGAGCCATTCAGTCAAAGATCAAGAGGTCTTTATAGGTTGTAATGTAGGCTAAGGGACGGGTAGGATATATTTGGATATAGTGACTAACCCTCCTAAGCACTTTTAATACAAACTTCCTTTTGTTTCACCTTCATGCTCAACCCAATCATTATTTCACATTTTGTTTCACTAGTGACCCCCACTTTTCGTTAGGTAAAACTAGCTTCTTCTTTTTTTTTTCTTTTCTTTTCTCTTTTTTTTTTCAGATTTATTGTACACTGCCAGTTTACCAACCAGAACCTTCATTCTTGATTCCCCTTTTCTCTCTCTTTTTTTTTTTTTTACTAGTTCTCTCCCACCCCACACTTTGACTTTTGTATATTCTTTAGTGATTAAGTGCTTCTAGGAGGTAAGGGTTCAAACAATGAGCTTATTCAAACACAACGATTTAGATTATTATAGGGTTATCAAAGAACAGGCTTCAGGCTCAAAGGGGTTAACTATGGTAATATGCACAGGTGGATTTTCAAGTATAAAGGGTTGCACAAAGAAGCGCCTCAATCATCTCTAAAACTAAATGACTTCTATTTTGCTTTGCAAACACACAGGGCAAGTTCTAGGTATCATATGCAGGCATAGGATGCAAGTAACAACTCACACACACTTAGCATGTAACTCATTCCGAATCAGTTCATCAACAATCATACGAGTGTTCAAGCCAGACAAGATGTGCAAAATTAAGACATATATTATGAGTCCACAAACAAGCTTAGACGTCCCCTCTCAAGTTCTTTTTCTTTGCAAGTGTGCACATTTGAGGTTACATTCTGACCTTCACCCATCTAATCCTAACACTACAAAAGAAAAATCTACCTAACCCGGTTCAAGAAAAACCCTTGGAAAAGAACCGTGGTCAAAAGAAAAACCAAGGGGGAGGTACTACACTACCTAAAAGAAGAAAAAAAAAAAAATTCTACATGGACTACTTCCCTCAAGAGTACTGCCCACATAGTCCGTCATCAGGAAGAGTCCTCTACATTTTTTTTTTTTTATATATCTGACTTTGACCCTCAAGAGACCCGTCAACAAGTGTCCGTCGTTGGGCCAAGTCAGCTACTCCTAATATAACACACTCACATATGTACAACACATCTAATGCTACAACATAACAACATCTATATACATTACAATATACAGTTAGAGCAAGTCTCCCACCCCACACTTAAAATCATGGCATGTCCCCATGTCATATTAATAAAGTAAAGAGCAGAAGGGTGAGAAGACTTCCCTGAGACTCAATCCGAGTCGGAGACGGTGCTGGGGTCTACATGGCATGCCCTCCCCAATGCGCGTACCAAGCCATAAACCGGCTCTCAGATCTAGCCTGCCTCTGTGACATGGCGTCCATCCGCGTGTGTAGACCATCCACCGAGGTGCGGAGATCCGCGACCTCTTCCTCCAAGGAGCGCAGCATAGGCCGGGAGGACTGTGAGCGTGATAGGTCTGCTCCAGAATGGGGGCGCCGAGAGGGCCCGGCACTGTCAACAGACCTCCTGGACGGTGCAACAGGGACCGGATCATCCTCCTCATCATCAATCTCAATTGTAGTGCGGGTGCCCCTGCCCACTCTGATGCTAGAAGCTTTGAAAGCTGCTTTGGGAGGCAAATCCCCATCAGCAGGGTTGGTAGGGGTGTTTCTCATCAAGCACAATGTGGTCACCAAGGAAGGGAAATAGAATCCCTTTGTCAGCAGCGGGCCCCGTAAGACCATTTCATCTCCAATTACCCGTGCCGCATCAAAATCCTTCCCTGTCACAAAGCACCAAGTCAACAGTGCCCTATTGAAGTTCACGTCCGTGGTATTGCTGGATGGCAGGAACCTGCTACAGATAACAGTCAACCAACACTTGGCCAAGTGAGTGAAAGAGTTAGAGTTGAGGGTTATTTGGTCACGTATCCATATGGGCTTCCCTCCTGTGCAAAGTACATCCGTCATGACCTCCCATGTCACCCCGGGCCTGTCATGGTAATAGTCGACGTCACTGGTGAATGGAGGCAGCCGCAACACCCGGCGAATTGTTTGAATTTGAGCACTGACCACCATACCCCGAACAATCACCTCCCTACCCAAATTCAAAGGATAGTTGGCATAAAATTCACGAACCAGCATCTTGTTAACTGGTGCAGGGTCAGCAAATAGGAACTCTATTTCCCGCCTCCGTATCTCTTCATACATCTCCACTTTTTCGGCTCGGAGGGCTGCCCGATCAATCGGGATTTCATGGATAAAAGTTTTGGTAGCCTTGGCGTTGAATTCGTCCTCTGCCAGTTCCGATTGGAATCTGGACTCATCATACGCAGG